GGGCTGTATGATTCTATTTATATGAGTTACCTAGAGAAGTCAAATTCATACGGACAGTAGAAAGGAAGGTGTCAGGAAGTAGGGGAAAGGGGAAATGGGGAATTTTTAATGGGTGGGAAGTTTCAGTTTTGCAAGATAAAAACAGTTCTAGAAACTGGTTACATAACAATGTGAAAGTACTTAACACTAACTGACCTGTACACTTAAAAACAGCTCAGAGGATAAATTTTATGTTATTTCACCACAATTTTTTAAAGAGAAAAATAACATTCAGAGGAAGAAAGATACATTACATACAGGATTCTAACAATAAAAATAACAGCTCACCTCTCAACAAAAACAATGAAGCTCAGAAGATTATAGAATGACATCTTTAAAATGCCAAAAGAAAATAAAACCACCATTCCAGAATTTTATATCCAGCAAGGTATCTCCCCAAAACGAAGGTGAGGTGTGCCTGGGTGGCACGGATGTTTAGCGACTGACTCTTGGTTTCGGCTCACGTTGTGACCTTGGGGTCATGAGACTGAGTTCTGCGTAGGGCTCTGTGCTCAGAGGGGAGTCTGCTTGAGACTCTTGCTCTCCTCCTCCCTCTGTCCCTCTCCCCCCACGCATGTGCGCTCTCTCTCGAATAAGTAAATAAATCTTAAAAAAAAAATGAAGGTGAAATACAGGTATTTCCAGGTAAGTGGAAACTGGGAAAACATGTCACAAGGGGACTCACATGGTAAGAAATGATAAAGGAAGCTCTTCATGCCAAAGAGAAAACCAAGTGAAAACCCCACTAGGCAATGTTTAATATTTGCTTTCAACAGTCACATATACTAATGAACTGAGGAGGGAAAATTATGCAGATATTTACTATTTCTGCTGCTGTTCCTTCATTCCTGAAGGTTTTAGTTTCCTTCCGGTACTATTTTGCTTCAGCCTGAACTTCCTTAACACTTCTTTAAATCAGATCTCTCGGAAATTCTCTTGTTTTTCTTTCATTTGGCAATCTCTTCATTCCTAAAGGATAATTTTTCAGGATATAAACTTGTGGGTTGATAGTTTTCTTTCCATTCATGTTTATGGCATATTGTTATAATATGGGCTTTTGAATTTGTGTCTGTTAATACTAACATGTAGGTTATGCTGGGGTTGGCATCTGTGCTTTCCCCTGAGAACTGGTTACATTTTGCTGGTTCTCTGTATGCTGAGAAACTGTGGATTATATATCCTTAGTATTGTGCTATGATGTTGTGTAGATGCTGGGTTCTGTTATAATCCTCTGGAGAATGCTGAGGTTTTTGTTTTGCAGGCAATCACTGTGGTTAGATTCAGGCTGCAAGATCCGTCTCTCCTTGTGTGTGTGGTGGTGCCAATCTCAGCTTAGTTCACAAAACCTTTGTTATGCTGGTTTGGTCTGTCCCACACGTGTGCAGCTCACAGTGAGCCTGAGACGTGTGTGGTTTCACACCCAGAATGAGGAAATCCCTTCGCAAGCTCTCTTCACTCTGGGTACTCCACTCCCTTCCAGCCCCCAAAGGGCTCCTTTTCTGATTCCTCTACCAAGAAAGATGGGGTTTCTTTTTTTTTTTTTTTTTAAAGATTTTATTTATTTATTTGACAGAGAGAGACACAGCGAGAGAGGGAACACAAGCAGGGGGAGGGTCAGAGGGAGAAGCAGGCTTCCCGCGGAGCAGGGAGCCCGATGCGGGGCTCGATCCCAGGACCCTGGGATCACGACCTGAGCCGAAGGCAGACGCTTAACGACTGAGCCACCCAGGCGCCCCAAGATGGGGTTTCTATCACGTTTCAGCTGTCTGCCCCAATGGGCTGCTGTGTGAGTGGGCCCACCCTCAGAGCAATTCCACGAGATACAGAGGAGTCACCTCTATATTGCTGCCATCTCCAAGTTTTGCTCCCCTTTATAACTTGCCTCATTTTATTTTTATAGAATCAAAACGATTACAGGGCAATTGTGTTTTGTCCATAGTTTTTACTTGTGATCAGTGGGAGGGGCAGTCTGTAGTGTGCTTCTGCCACTGCACAGGGACTGGCACTCCCCAGTGATTTTTTTAGAGTTTCTGTCTCCTAAATTTCACCATCTCTTCACGATATCCAGCCCTACCCCTTAATACCATAGATTAAAGCTTTTGACGCACTTTACGTCTTTGTACGTGGCTAGCTCCTTTTTTTTTTTTTTTTTGAGAGAGAGAGAGAGTGCAACGCAAGCAGGGGAGGGGCAGAGGGAGAGAGAATCCTAAGTAGGCTCCACACCCAGGGTGGAGCCTGATGCAGGGCTGATCTCATGACGCTGAGATCATGACCTCAGCTGAAATCAAGAGTTGGATGCTCAAGCGACTGAGCCACCTGGGAACCCCCCTCCTAGCTCCGTTTAAGAGTTAAATCTCTTTCAGTTTCTGTCTGCTTTGTGATTGCTCTTCAGTGCCTTCAAACAGTTGTTTTTTTATATTGTGTCCAGAATTTCTAACTATTACAGTATGTTTAGTATCATGTAAACTACTCCAATACTTCCAGAAATTATATGGTGTTTCTGGACCAAAGAAAGCTTCCTTCCCACCCTCCATTACTTGGGAATTCGGTTAATGTTGTTTGAACTTATTTTTTCCAAAAATCTCCAAGATCCTGCTCATCCCTCTCCTGTTCCCACACCCACACAAGTGAAAGCAGACACAGAAAAGCACAGCTTGGTCAGGGCCTCACACTAAAGCTGCTTCCCCAACCGCAGATCAGTTTTGTCTCCCCTATTATGTTCTCTCTCTATAACACAGATTTGCTTGGATATTTTTTATGTATCTACTATATGCCCTTGGTCCCGTCTTCAAAGTGCAGCAATATATTAATACAAATATCCATACAATGAGGCAGAGAGTTCCAAATGCCGTGAGAGAGAGAGAATAAAAAACTGCTATGGGAAATCAGAGAAGTGGATTTCAGCTAGGCAAATTAAGAGAGGTTTTAGCGAGGAGGGGGTATGCAGAGAGTGGGCCCTAACTGCTAATTCAAGCAGAGGCATTTACATATCTGTTCTCTGCTGCTCCTGCAGCATCATGGAAGTGGAGGTGGTAGTAGTTGTTATTATATAAAGCCTTCTACTTAAAGTGTGACCCACAGACAAGCTCTGGAATTTAGCAGAAAGGAAGGATCTCAGGACCCAATGCAGGCTTACTGAATCAGAGTCAGCATTTTAACCAGATCCCCAGATATTTCATATGTATTCTGAGGGTGAGAGGCATTAACAGAAAGTACATTTTCAAGAGAACAATGATTTTAAGATCTCACCTTCTCTACTCTGAGGCAAGGACGCATGAGGTGGGTGGTGGTGGGGCCCAAGGAGAACAAATGCTCCTGAGTACTAAGGATGTGCTCGGGTCACTAGGCTCATCAGGAAGCCTTAGAAGGAGTTATTTCCATTCGGCAGGTCAGGAAATGGAAGCTCAAGGAGGTTCAGTAAGTGGCCCAAGATCACAAAGAAAGTGGCAGAACCTGAATTTGGACCCGTATCTGACAGATTCCAAAGCCTGTAAATGCTTTTAGTCTCTGCACCCTGCGTGTCTGGTGTGTGATCCAGGAGCCTCAGTGCTGTTTACAGTGCTGCCGCAAACTCGTTGGGTGATCTCAGCTCTTCTTGTCTAAGTGGATGGAATCTGAACCAGTGAAAGTTCACAAACATAAATCCCATGGCCTCAGGAAAATGGGTATTTGAGGCAACCTTAAGACACAGTGCTGGGAGTGCATGTTGTGTGCTGGTCCCAGAAGCAGGGTAACGTGGTGCAGAGTATAGGACCAGGGATGAAGAGCCCTGGGTTCTAGTCCTGCCTCTGTTACACGGTAGCTGGGAGCCTCATTTTCCTGAGCCACCCAGGCGACAGAAATGGACAGAAATGATCTATATTGGCTATCTCTCAGTGCATTTGACTGGTTCGAGTAAGATTCTGCTTGAAAATGTTCTATGATATGATACACTAATACAGTCAGTTCTCTAATTGCCTTAGTTTTCATAACACAAATTAGATATTTCTAAATTAGAGAAATAGGATTTGTCGTCTGCTGCCCATGCTAGCAACTGGGAACTAGCTCTGGCAAAGCCCATCACCTCTGTGCTTGTGTTTGCCCTAACAACGGGAATAAAAGGTAGTAAAAATATGTACAGACTCTGCCCCAGTGAGAGAACGAGTGGTGTTAGAACTACAAAGACCATTATTCTAGAGCAGAGAGTCCTCGTTCTAGAACTTTCTGTGGGGATGATATGTTTCCTTATCCGTGCTGTCCGCTAGGGTAGCCACTAGCCACACTTGGCGACTGGGAATTTGAAATGTGGCCAGTGCAACTGAGGAACTTCATTTTAAGTTTTATCTTGTTTGAGCTCATTCAAATTTAAACATGTGGGTAGTTAGCTACCACACAGAAGAGTGCACCTCTAGAGCAAAACTGAGGTACAGGTATGTTCAGTGTTCTAAGACTTTACAGCTAGGGGCGCCTGGGTGGCTCAGTCGTTAAGCGTCTGCCTTTCTCTCAGGTCACGATCCCAGGGTCCTGGGATCGAGCCCCACATTGGGCTCCCTGCTCCGCGGGAAGCCTGCTTCTCCCTCTCCCGCTGCTTGTGTTCCCTCTCTCGCTATCTCTGTCTCTGTAAGACTTTACAGCTATACTCCTATTACCAACAAGTCAATTGATTTTTTTATCCCCAATTCTGAAACTCTAGCCCCTAATGCCTTCCCCGCCCCCCCCGATTAAACAAAACATTTTTATAGCGTGATTTCTGATAATGGGAGGTTCCTCTGGAATCTAATTATCACTGTATAGCACCACCGCTGATACCAGCACAATGTGAAGCTTACCTAGGCAAAAGAATGAGGCTTTGTTAATAAATGTCTGTTCGTCTGAGAAAATATTTTACTCCCTTGTCTTTAAAATTAAAAACAGTAGGACTGCAAGCTACTGGGCCCTGTGAGTGGCCATGCGACACACCGGTGCTCACAGCGGTCTCCTACCTTGCGTTCTCCGCTCTCCGGCTGATGCACTGGTGCAAGTAGAGATACTCCTGAGGCGCACTGGTGGACAAGGCAGGCTGCATGTGGTTGGACACCGGGGGTTCAAAGGTGAACAGCGTGGGCTGGCTGGAGTGCGATGGGGCTGAGGACTTCCGTTCCCGGAGAAGGTGCTGACTGGAGCTGCTGAGCTCAGCTGGAGAAGAGCGGGGGCCGTGACTGGTGGAGGAGAGGTTTCTCAGGGAGTCTGGGAAACAAAAGAAGGAGCTCTGTGACTGAAAAAGGGAAGAAAGGTGTCCTTATCCCAAAGTGGGCTGTCAGAGGAAGAAGAGATATGAGCAGAGGCAATGATCCAGCAGCAGCCTTCTCTCCCCCTCACACACCTACCCCTTCCCTGCCTCCAGAGAGGGAGGACTGTGGCTGCCTGGCAGAAAAGGAGATGCCCTGTGCCTTCGCGCCGCTCCTGGAGTCGCCTGGGGGCCGCTCCAGGTCACAACCTTGACGGTGTTCGCCCAGCTCCCGGGAGGTGTGGCTTGCCCGGGGCGCGGGAGTGGGACTCCTGCGCTCCCTCCAGGCCAGCCCTCGGAGCAGTAAGTGCCACTGCCTTCCTCCTCTTGGGAAGCTCCTGCGTCATCACCTCCATCAAAGCGCTGGCTGACTTTGTTAAATGAGCTTTGCTTCCTGGAGACTCACTAGGTCAGACCCCGGACTGTGTGCCTTACCGCATTAAGGATAAAAGCACACAAGTATTTGGAGCAGACTGTTCCTTAAGACTGGTCCCAGCTCCTCCTGCCCGCTCTTCCAAGTCCTCTTGAGGACAATGGTCCCCATTCCCCAACTCTTATGCCCACCACTCTGTGTCAATTGGTCTTTTTTCCCCTTAACTCTCCTCTTAAACTCCCCTCTGTTGTGCTAGAAAAGAAGCAGGGTATTAAAGACAGATCACAGCTGAGAGTGCTCCCCCCCCAAGCCAAGGGCATCACTCATTTGGCTCGTTCTCCAAGCCTAGTCCAAGTTCCTGAGCCTAACGCACAAGGCCTTTGACAGTCTCACCTACTTCCTGCTTTTCTCCTCCTGGACCCGAGGCGTTCGGAAGCTTCATCAGTCCCCAGGCACACCAGCCCCTTTTATGACTCTTTCTTATGGGCTTCGGCTCTTCCTTCCGCCTGGATTTCACTTCTACCCTACTGGCACTCACACGCAGACTTTTAAGACCCTACACGGATATCATATTCCCTGTGAAACCTTCCTGGACGCGGTCCTTTTTCTGGCTGCCAATAGCACTTGGCCCATGCTTCATTATATCCACGGTCCCTCTGCCTCCTCGCCTAGCCCAAGAGTCTCTAAGACAGTGACTGATGCTGTTGCGCCTACGGTCCAGGATTTACCCAATAAAGGCCAGGCGCACAGAAAATTCGTAGTCTGTGTTTGTGGAACAAGCAAAAATGTTCGTTTGGCATACAATAATTCCACAGTGAAACTTCTTTTTCAAGAGAAATAAAGGTTTAAAGATGTGATTTCTGGCGATATGACAGCTGGTGGGGTGTGATGGTTCAGTGGTGGTGTGGTGGCTTCCTAGGCTATTCGAATCTTTTCTGTTTCTACTCCCCGTTATCTGACCTATTTTAGTACCCTTCTCATGGCCCCAGGATCATCAGCTCATTAGTGCTCTATCAGATTAATTACTCTCCAGGCTTCTCTGATGCTAGGCAGAACAACTTCCGCCCGTGTCCAATGGAGAAAGCCACGGGCCTTGGGGGAAAAACAGTTCCATCGACAGGGTATTGACCTCCAAAATGAATTCCCATTACAGGTCCGGTAGTGAACTGGATGTTTGTTAACAGAATCAATGGCTTCATTACTCCATTATATTTGCAAGATGAACTCTCTAATGGCAGAGGGGGGAAGGTTTATGCTCAGGGATGAAGTAGCCATGGTGCCAGGGGTGAACACAGCTACTGCCTGAGAAGACACAGGGAAGGTGCTAAGAGAAAGCCTCTGGGGGCATTTCTACCTTCCCCGCGGTCTTTCTGGATCCCTCCACCTCTGCCATCCCTTCAGTGGGGGCATTTTTCAAGGTTCCACCCCGGACCCTCCTATAGCTTCACTCACTCAGGAGACTCCCCTGGGCTAATCTTCTCCAGCCAGGTGATGACACTCTCGAAACTCAGTCTTTAGCTCAGTTCTCTGCCCTGGGCTCTTGTCCTATAACCCTCTGCCTGCTTGGCATCTCCACTCAGATATCCCACAGGCAGGTCAAGCTCCCGACCCTCCTCCTGTGTTCTCCCTCTCCGTGAAGTACATCAGTGCCACCATCCAACTGGTTCTGAGCCAGAAACCTAGGCATTATCTAGGACTCTGCTTCTCGACGACTGCGCCATGTCATTATGTCATCGCCCAGCTTCAAAATCTTCAGTGGATCCCTGTTATCCTCAGGATGACCTACAAAGCTCTCTCTTTTTAAAACCATTTTCTTGTTTATTTCTTCAACCTTGTTTCTGACCAGTCCTTCCTTGTGTTTCACATAGATTTTTAGGAAGACAGTAACCTTTCTCTCTCATCACTCCATACATTCAGCTGTAAACTCACTGTCTTTTCTCTAACAGTTTCATCCCTGGCATCAAGCCCAGTGTGTGACCCAACTCCATAAATACATGTTGATTAATAAAATAATGAAATACATAGCATGAGGTCATACTCCCTCCATACTGCTGATTCCTCACTGCCTCTGGAATCAAGTTCAGGTTCCCAAGTCCAACAAGAAAGGCCATTCTATGACAATCTACTTATCCCACCTGTCACCCCATACACCCTGCATGGCCCCTTCACTTCATGCTTTGAGCTGTGGGTCTGTGTATAAAAGAGGAGTGACCTGTTCTCACAGCTGGGGCCCTCTGACCCAGGTTCTTTACTTGCAGAGCTGGAGAAATCATTTCACTTCTCTGAGCCTCGGTTTCCTTATTTACAAGTTGACAGAGGATGGTCACAAGGATGGAATGCATAAAGGGTTGAGACAATTCGGCACGTTTTAAGTTCTCAAAATGTGTTCTAGGCATTTCTGTATTCCTGGTGCCTAAAACAATCTCAGCTCACTGTGGGTATTGAATATATAGTTGCTGAATAAATAAAAGAATTTTCACTAGCACAAAACCAAATATGCCTGTTTCTTGTGGTCAAAATAAGAGGGGCTTTCAAGGTCTGCTAATAAGATGAAGTAGGGGTTACAATGAGTTGGGCCCACTTGGAATTCCATTCTATAAATATGAAGCCATGTCTATGAAATCAGTCAGCTCCATAATGATCTGCAGCTTCAGAAAAATTCTTTCAAAGCTGTTTTGGTGCTAAACCTTGCCAAAATCTCACTTCCGTTTGCTACTTTAAAAGATTTCTACCTGAATATAGGTAATTATTCCTTAGGGCCTATAATGGATTGAACAGTGTCCCCCCAAAACTCATGTCTACATGGACCCAAAGTGTAAAAGGTGAATGAGATATTGGTGTGAAAACAAATGCGCATACTCGCATAAAACGTGCATAGGATTTGTTTTTATTGCCCTGGGTACCCCTTGAGGGAAGAAAAGAATGCAAAAGGACATTACGCTATGTGTGGCTGGGCTGTTTTTGGTATGTGGCCACCTGGCTGTTGTAATGATGTGTCTTGGGTCATTAGGAAGGGCAGTTATACAGCAAGAAGAAAATGGACATTTCCAGACTTCTGGCCTGGGCTTCCATCTCCAAGTCTAGACTAAAGATAATGCCAGAAAATGCTTGAGTCAAATTTGTTTTCTTTTAAACAGGGTTTTATTTTTTCCTCTTCTCCCTGGCTTCTTTTTAGGGCCCTAAAAATCACTCCCCTTCCTTTCCACAATCACCCCTGGGAAGGCTGCCCAGCACACAAACACTCCGCCCACCTTCTTGCAAAACTCTAGAACAGGAAAGCTCTGAAGGATTTTAGTAGAGGGGCCCAGCCCAGCCCAGCCCAGCCCAGCCATCAACTGGCTAGTGATAACAGGAGCAGGAAAGGGGCGGTTGGCGGGAGTTTCTGGAAAAGATGACTGGCCAAATAATGACGGGTTCCCTTATCTCAATGCCCTTTTTATCTTTATCCTCCCCCCCCCAAATCCCCACCCAAGCCTCAGTGGGTGTCAGAACCCATGAAGTGGTAGACCAAATCACATGCTGGAGCCCAGGCTGGATTCAAAGCCTGCTTTTGCTAACTCCTCGCTTTATGGCCTTAGACAGGCTACATAAACCTCTTTGATCTTCACCTGTTCAACAGGGAAAATAATTTTCCAGGGCTGCTGCAAGGTTTGAGATCATACATATCAAGCATTTAGCATAGTGCCTGCCATTCTTACTGCTTCTACTCCTTAGTACACATGAAACTGCTGGGACCTTGAAATTGGCCAAGAGGTATGGAGTTGCTTTCCAAGCAACAGTGAATGCTTGCAAGGTAACTGTTGTCTCTGTTTTAGTCCCAACTATACCCTGCATGATGTTACATGTGAAAGGAGAACAAAAAGGACAATAGAGACTATAATAATCACAGCTGCCATTTATTAAGCACCTACTACATGCCTCTAGTCTACTCTGTGAGGCAGATATTTCCATTTTTTCCCCTTCTTTTTGGATGAAGAAACTGAAGCTCAGAGAAGTTAGTAATGAGCTCTGGTGTCACACAGCTAGAAAGTGGCAGAGCCTATGTGAAATAGATCAAACTTTCTTCCAAAGCCAATTCTTGTCATCCATGTAAAGAGTTCCCACAAGATCCCTATGTGGTGAACGGTATTAGCTTTATGAGGGGCAGAGTCAAATAACAGAACGAGAGTCTAGGCCAAGCTCTGCTGTCAACTGGCTGAGTGACCTTGGGAATGCCATTTCATCTTCCTGGGCCTCGTTTTCTCTATTCAAAAAAGAAAGAACTTGGATGAGATAGGGGATACACATCAAAGCCATCTTTGGGAAACATGAGAGCTGTTCGGTATAAGACCTAATGAGTCATATTTACACAGGGATTTAGATAAGATCCACTGGTTTAGCTTTTAACGATCTCTGGTTCTTAATCCCAAGGCAGAGGTAGAAGAGTTGGAGTCAACTGAAAAATCAGGGGCAAAGCAAGCCTGAAAAGCCAAATGAAAAAACAAATTCTTCCAAAAATCGTTTTTTTGGATAATCAAAATTACAAATTGAAAACCACCTTTGTTCTCACTGGCTTTTCATATCATCTGCCTACAGCCAACTCCAAAA